TTCTCCTATAAAATAATTTTATATGCAGACCCTATCCTCCAAAAAAAAAAAATAAAAAAATGAGACTCAAACATTGACTAAAAGACAATATATATATATAATTTTATTTTATTTTTTCCAAATTTCAATGGAGGCCGGTGCCGTCAATAATCGATCAATTTTTTGAAATATGAAAATTGGGCATGTTTTAATTTTTGGAAATAAATAAATTAAATACACACCTAAAAAGCAGCTTTCAGACCAAGACAGATTTGGACACTATATCCCTCCTCTCTATGCCATGGCCAACCAATATTTTGCCGTAGGAAAATTGGACTTTGGAGAAAAATAAATCAACCAAGGCGGCTTTGAAGATGAAGTTTAGAGAATTGATAGGTTATCAAGTCAATGCAAATTAATGATGATCAAACAATTGATAAGGTCGGTTTGTGTTTGAATTTAATTTTGAGGAGAATAGAAATTTTGGAATAATGATTAATGATGTGAGAATGTGTGGTGAAAAAGTGATGAATTTTTTTTTTGATTTATGTGTAATATTATTTTATTTGGAGAATGTGTGGTTGAAATAAAGATGAGAACGAGGATGAGGGGGCTTCAATCTTATCAAAATTGATAACGAAATGTATTTAAGTTGAAATTGATTGCTTTCTAAAACCGTTGTGTGTATGTATCAAATATAAATTTTCAACATTGTGTGTAATGAATTCACATTGTACTAATGGAAATTCAAAAATAGACATCTACAAAAATAGACAAATAGACATCTACAAAAATAGACATCTTCAAAGTACATCGATGATAAGTGTTTCATTAACTCCTCTGAATTAATTATCTCGACCTCGTGAGTCTTGATGCAATGAACGCATAACTAGTTAATTTTTACTCTTAATAACACTAGAGTGTGTTTGATTGGCTTCATTTTCAATGAAAAATGTCACTCTTTGTACTCAAATTCCTACTTTTGGGGTGTTTGACTGAGAATTTTTTCCATAAAAAATATTTTCCAACTTTTGGTTACGTGACCATATCTACCCACCAATTAAAAATGGACAAGTATAGTATTTTACACGTTTACATGTTCGCTTAGTTCTCATGACTTGAGAAGATGCCTCACTAATCAATTATATCTTTTTTTTTTTTTTGGTACATAATAAATTTACTCGTGAGATGCTACACCTAATCGAGCGTGACATCCAAATATATAAAATTAATATTTATTCTTATTTCAGTACCAGAATTCATGCAGGGTTTTTGAAATGAATAAACAACTTAAATAAATGTAGATAATACGTCGATACATGCATAAATATTTATGTTTTACATTAAAAATAAAAATATGTAAGAGGGCGTGGAAGATGCTCCAAGTATGGCGCAAGAACTATTTTTCTGTTTGTGGAAAGAAAATTCTAATCAAAGCAGTGGCTCACGACATATAAAATGATTGTTCCCTAGTTGCCATCTAATTATGTGATTAATTAAGTCGCTTGGTTGTTTCCTTTTGGTGTGAGTCAAGAAAGAAAGAAGGTCGCTGCGGACTTTTAGATTTACAGGAGGAAGATTATGAATCTGAAATCTTCATTTATTCGATTGAAAAAGGTTACACGAGGTCAC